GTTCTAATCTCCGAGGTTAGACAGGCTCAGTGCGTAGAAAGAACTAAAATGATTGCGGGTCAATGTAGCCCCACTGATAAATTGCTCCTTTACATTTGATTTGCCTCAAATATATGGGAAGATATATCCTACTTTGGTATCTGCAGATAATAATGATATTTTCATAGATACGTTTGTTGAGTAACTTCCAAGCCAAATGATGCAGCATTACTTGGGTATGAGAAGTATCTATATTTTAATAGAAGCAGTAGTTGTGGTGAATTAGTTCAGGGTGGGTAAATCCAAACACATTGCTATAGAGGAAAAAGCTTACAGTGGATGTAGCTCGGACAGACTGCCACAGACAAATTCTGATAGCTTGACATAGCTGTACTTGATATCAGTATCTGAGCAGGGTCTTTTATGATGGTTGTGTCGCAGCAAATTATATGTTGTCTTTCCCCATATAGCACTCTGGACATGAATATCATGTTTTTGGATTGGTAGGCCACTATCAAAACAAACTGCCCACAACAATATATGCAAAACTTTCAGTTGCAACTGAATGATTATTGTATTTATAATATCCACAAACAGACTATAGCTGATGCTGATGCAACTCTTAAAAAACTAATGGATCCCAGTTTTTTTTATGTTTGGCTACCAAACCCAGAGATCCAGTAATCAACTTGCTTCAGAAGGTTTGTTGGTCTTACCAGTCCATTCATGGCTGTGCGGTGCTTATTGTATGCTAATAAAGGTTCGTGGACATAAAGTAATTTCTGGTTGAAATATAAACGTACTAGAGCACTGATTAACCACGTGGTATACCAAGAATTCTGAGTAAAGCCATCACTTTGTCCAGTTACCCTTCACATCTAGGCCTGTTACATTCAAAATTTAAACAACTTTATTATCAATGTACGTCAATAAACCTGGCACAAAAACATAGTTTATGATTAAAGTTTTTAAATTATCTAAGTTTAAAAAAATGCTCTAAAACTTCTCAATCATTTTCTGTGCCATGTGACGCGTCTGAACTCCTATTTTTCAACTTCAATAATAGGGCTATACACAATTACGAGCAGGTATCTAAAATTTAAACCTATGTTCTTGCTTTGTTAAACTCCTCACCTTTCTCTTACTTTCGAGATTGTTTGATAGAGATGTTTGCAATTAACAGAAAGAGCAAAGTCTCCGCTACATATATCTTAGAAGTCGTCATTTAGTTTTACCAGTCGTAAAGCGATAGTCAGTGGTATTGTGTGGTTGTCATATCATAGTTTGTTGCTCTGTGTTTACGGTATTTTTAAACTTATTTATAGCTTACTTAGGAAGCCAGGTAAATCTGAGTAATTTTGGAACATTTTGCTCCAATGACTGATATATTTTTTGTTAATACACATATTGAAAGCTATATTAATTCTTTTTGGGCACTCAAATTAGCGTGACTCAATAAGGTTTATGGGAGATCATCTACTTGAGAGTAAACTGCTCCAGAATGCAGTGAGTACTATATATATTCTCGTTATATATATATATATATAATTATTGTTATGTATTTACAAAAGTGACTGAAATGTAAAAATTCTAAATTTCTCTGCTTAGACTGACAAAACTTCAATAAAATAAAAAGTCTAAAATTACACTAGCATGAACACTGAGTGAAATATGACACTCAAGTCATATAGTTGTATTTTAGCTCTATGGGAAATAGCCCCTTCCCCACTGTGTTTTTTGCTTTTTGGGTGCAGTAGTCCAAGAGTTATTGGTCCAAAGTACAGCAATAAATACAGGGGTGAAGTTCTACCGGTACTAGTACTGGGACTTATTTTAACTGCTTTGTGTTTTTTTTATGTCAAGTAGATAGAAAAAAAACAACAAAAAAAAACAGCTCCACTTCACCCAGCCGAGTACCTCTACTTTATTTTTGAGAATTTCACCCCCAAATAAAAACATAAAATCAAAAGAAAGCAGATGTGTAGAGGTTAGAAATTGAAGCTGTTATGATAATTAGTTTCGTTTTGTTTGATGAATACCGAAGTCAGTACAGAAAATACATTTTATATTTTCCAACTTTTTATTTCACTCTACATTGATTATTTCGCTACAGTTGGTTTTAGGGTAGAGAACATAAAATATATAAAGTTTACAAAAATACTTGATATTCATGTAGAGTCCTAGAGGTTATGTAAATAAAATATTACAAATGTATTTTTGCTGGTGGATATTTTGTTTATGTCAGCCTGAGTATGTTTTGACATATAATGTTATGTGCAGAACAAATTATTAATCCTGGCTGAAGGAATTTCAGCTAAAACTCTTAGTTTAACTGAATTCTGCTTGCGATTATTTATTCCATGATACTGAAAGAGAATGTCGAGTTTATCAGCTGGCAGCTGCTGGTGCAGTGTTGAGCAGCATGGGTATCGAGACTGCCGCTTAGGTTGCAATAGTTACTTAAGTCCTTAAGCATTATAAAGATAACTTGAAAACACTAAAAAAATGTGTGTACATTTTGGTGGTATCGTTTATACCCAAGCCGAGAAAAAACATTCTAGAGTTCATGCCAGAAGCAAAACAGTAGAAACTCTGACCAGTCTATGGTGACCATAAAGCTATGTTAAATTCATGCAGAGCTTTTTAAGACTAAGCAGGACCTGGCAAAGGCCGTAGTACAGTGGAATATATCCGTCAACAAAAGATCCACTGTTACTTTGAAAACCCTATTACCACATATGTAATATTCAACCCTAGATGATGACCACAGTGTGTGTACATTCTTTCATTTTATTTATTTTGACTAATTTAAACAAAAGGCAGAAAAACATGTTATGATTCATCATTCATTAGTAAATTGTTGTAGTTACTTAGTTTCATCTGTGATCATAAACTTTACCTTTCATCATTTTAGTGATTCTGTGCAAAAAACAATTACAAACAAGACATTACTCTCTATCTTCACAAACTCAGTAGTAGTTACCTTGATTTTATATGCTTTAGTGATTTGTTTTAGAAAAATCTATAGTGTAAAACTATCAACTATATCTTCTATCTTTGGTAACTCAAAAACAGTTACTTCTATTCTTTGCACTGTATTTTAATATAAATAGTGATGTGAAACTACGATACTATCCTTCATTATAATTATATGAATTTATTTTAAGACATATACATAAAAAAATTCATCTCACAAGTAAAAATAGGCAACTTTAGTAACTTTAAAATAGTTATCTCTGTTTTGAGCATTGTATGAGAAATCATGATGTAAAAATATTATATATTACCTTTCAGCCTCAGTAGCTCAAAATAGCTACCAGTAATTTTATTAAATTGTGGCAACCGATTCATCTTTAATAACTTAGTGTGGTTACTTAATCACCACTGTTCATCTTCAAAGTGAAATATTAAACACATGAACCTTACTCTCCATTACTAATTCTATTACAGGATATTACTGAAGAAAGTAAATTTTGGTTTAAATGGTCCTGAAACTATAATTAAGTGAATTAAAAAAATTTTTTTTGCTTTGAATTTCCCTAAAAAAAATCTCATTAAAAACTGTTCTGTTTTCAAATGTTATGGAGTAAAACTATAAAATGTATTTGAACAAAAATCTATTATAAATTTAAATGCATATAACTGTGAAAGGGTTGTGCCTATCTATTTTGTCTACATGTTTTGCAGTACAAGTTTTTCAGAAGGACAAGTCCAAGTTACAGCATATGCATAACTGATACATGTTGTTTATACAACTGAATTTTGAAGTACAAATTTAGGGATGGCTAGGTCAGTCTGAAAGTAAAGGGAAGGATAGATGAGATATGTGAAACTTTCTTTTTTTTCCTCTTTCAGTGTAGATAGATAAAGAAATGTTCATCTACAACTTTTGGAATTTCTCACACGTTTTTGATTGCATGAGCAGGTATTACAACTGAGAAATTGGTTGTGGTATGCGTTATTTCATACCATTTAAGGATATCAAATTATATAGATCACTAGAAGCAATGAAAATAACCAAGCTACGGTAATTACAAGAGAATTATAGATATTACTTAGGTTTTATGTGAAATTGAAACTGACATATACAAGGCTTGACCTATTACTTGATTCAAATATAATGCTATGTTCATATTAAACTCAAGCACAAAATATAACCAAAAATGTATTTATTGTTTAGAATTACTATATAAATAATAAATAAACAAGATGTATCCATTTCTATAATGCCACTTTATTACAAGGTCACTTCTATACATAAATCATGCTGATTGCTCTGAGCATAAGGATGGCTAAAGTACAATAAAAAAAAAGTTTTGATTACTATATAATGACATTGGAATTTTAAAAAACACACCCCAGCATCAAAAGCATCTGATTTTACATTATGAAATGCAGCATATTTGCTGATCTTGAAAATTGAAAGATTTTAATACACAGATCTTGTTTGTAAACTCATTTTTATTAAATAACCTTAACAAAAATAATTATACATCTCAAATATATGGTATTACATTTCAGTCCAGCATAATTATGTAAAATTTAACCAAATATTTACAATTATTTTATTATAATGCAAGATAATTAATTTTTGTAACTACAATTTAAAATATTTCATTTTAAGAAATGTTTTCAATCACACAGGTACTAACTTATGACATGGAAAAGTCAAATTACATGTCATAAATTTCAATATTTGTCATACATGAAGGTTCAAATCAAATAAACATCACTTTTTAAAAGTATTTTCATTCAAGTTTTGTATGCCTTGATACTTTGCTACTAGAAATTTTACTAAATATTCATATTTTGGATGCTGTTATGTAACTTACATGAAATCTGAAGTAACACATTATTTCACTTGTGAATTTTTATTAAAAAATATTAACATGCAAAGTTTTGCAATTGTTCCAATTTTAAGCAGCACCATAATATATATATTTGGTTTTGTGTGTGTTTGTGTACAGTTGAAGCTATATTTATAAATCTGAAGAAGTAGGATGTATTTAAGCCACATTTTACTACAAGATAACTGAATTAGTGAATAAACTGAGTTTTCAACATAGCTTACAATAACAGCACTAATACACAACACCTGGTTAACATCCTTTGATTTCTAAATGGAACACTGTAGCATTTTCTTAAAATGATAAACAACTAAACAATCAATAATTAATACGAATTTATTAAAACTATATATCTTGCTCACACAGTGTTTGATGATACAATAAACAGTAAAACAAGTTAATAACATTTCTAACAGTTGTTGACTGGTGCGGAATCACTTTCCTCGATTCATTGTAGTTGCAATTAGAATCGTTTTCTTTCTTTTTTTCTTCTTTTTACTTCCAGATTGTTCTTGTACTTTTGGAGAAAGCCAAAACAACCAATAAATAATTATCCTATATAAAAACTTATGGAAGTAGCATTTATAAGTAACTGAGCAAAAAGTGCATTTTAAAAGAATATTTTCAAACACTACAAGCTTTATATAGATGAAACACTTGGGGAACTTAGCAGCAGCCAAATTCTAAAAATGATTAGAACTTAGCAAGTGACCATAATATCAAAATACAACAAAGTAAACTGAAATTAAGTTTCCAGAAATAGTGAATTTTTAATACAATACCTATAACATCATAACTTTAAAAGCAAGTAATTTCTACCAAAATTAAAATGTCAGAATATATTTATCAGGAATATAAAAGCTGGTAATGAGATTAACTACAGCAGTTTTTACCTTGCAAAGAACTCTGTTGGCTTATGCTGTCTAAAGCAGCTTGGAAGGCATCACTGAAAGACTGTTGGTATTGTGGAACAGGTACAAAGTCATCATCAATATCTTCTGTAGAACCTGTCTCTTTTATGTTAGTATTAATAGAAGTTTTTTCTGATCCAGGTCGTTTCACCGTATGACTCCACTGATCAGGTTTGGATTTACTGTCCTGCAGCATCTGTAAAAATAGAAATGTTACAATTTTTCTTCTTATACATCTTACCTTGATATAAAAGTTTATTAATCATAACACAAGCAGAAAATGTTAAACACTTTAGAAACTCTTTCAAACATTATAATAACAAATAAAAAGAAGGCAAGTATAAAACCTTGAATTGTTCAACAGTTGTCTTCGATAACTTGAAGATAATGGCAAGAAAAGTATGAACATGCATACAATTTACCAACAGGTTAAATACTGTATGATGTTTTAGCTACTTTTATAATTTATCATACATTTAACATTTTAATAACTTCTTCAGATTAGATCATTTTGAACAAATTGTAAATTTCATTTTATTTCTATACAAAATCCATTTTCCTTGTACACAACTTGGTGATTCTGTGTTGTCCATTTCTAATATCTTCTACATATAAATGCAATAATAATAATAATACTATGTAAGATATTAATGATTCTTACAATACTATTTCAAAATGCATGAAAATTCTGATAATAAATATTTCCAAATATTGCACGAGTCATTATAAAATATGAAAAACTGAAAGAAAAAGATACAAATGTTAATAACTAAGTTTTTTACAAATCCATAAGAGAAAATAATATTCAGGATAATGTTTCTAAACATTTTCATGCTCTTACAAAGTTTTTTGGTCTTAAAAACAAAATGTAATGCTCAATTTTAAACCAAAGTAAAACATTTGATAAAATATAAAGATCATTACTATTGCATAGGATAATGAAATTTTACAGAATTAACACAGTTAACAGAGCTTTCAAACTTGTTCAAAAGTTCATTTTAATCATGATAGTGGTCCACCAGGCATTATTATTGATGCTACAAAATGTGTTGAAATATAAACTAAACTACTTCATATATTTTTAAATATACTTTTATTGTGCAATGCTTTGGGTATTAACTCATATACATATAGATTATGTGAATATATAACCATAATTTTTAAAACAAGTTTTTTTTTAAATGATGAGCTGCTTGTCTTTTTCTGATATAATTAAATGTAAGGCTTTTTCTTTACCTGAGCAAAAGATGTGGTTCTCTGAACCGCAACGTCTTCAGAGCTGTTCTGAGAGCAGATGCTCTGGGAAGAATCACAGGTTGCAGGAGAAAGCAAACTAGCTGTTGGTTAAAAATGTTTTCAAGCTTTAGTGATCTATTTTTTTTTATAACCTTCTGTGACAAATACTGTTAAAAAGTTCAGTTTTATATTTATCCAAATCTCACTGGAAATTGCAAGACTAAAAAGTTTCACCAGTACAACACAAATTTCTTAATGATATTTTAACTGATTTGTTTAATTCTATTGTTTATAAATTTGTTTTTGTAAGATATACACTCTTATAAAAATAAACTCTTTCAAAGAATGTCAGTTGGAAATACCACTTCATTTAAGCTTATGTTATACAAAACACATATACTTTAACTATAACACATATTTTTAAAGTTTTTCATCTTTAAAATTACAAAATCTCCATAATTATCAGAAAAACAAAATTACTCATTGACGACATCTCGGAAGAAATAGAATCTGCTTCGGACATAGCAGGAGAAATATCTGCTGAAGATGGATCTTCTAGGTTGAAATTTTCTGAGCCAATCCATGTTGGAAAATGATGCAAACTGTCCAAACGATATCTGACATCAGGATCTAACAATGCCAATAAAAATTAAGTTAATAATTTTAAATTTCAACTATACAGTTATGATAAATAACAATGTTGTTGTTAAGACTGACTCAACATCTCCAAGTGGTTACGTAATTAAAATTAAGAAAAAATAATTTTTATAATAATCCCTATCTTGATTTCTATACTTGTTTTCTGAATAATTTTTAACTGTTTTCTCTTGTTTTACTTATCACATGGTACTTTATTGTTCATATTCATATCCACGATGAAATATTAAGCTTTACATTACCAAAACCATACACTGCCCTTTAAAATGCAGTGACATAAAGCTGAGAGAAAAAAGAAAACTAAATGTATTCAAAAATACATTTAAAATAAGAAAATGAATGTTTAAAACTGCTAACTTAATATTCAGATAGTTATTTCACTAATTAAACATTTTGTATATACTTTTTCCATAGGAATTACGTAACTTACTGAACAACAGAAATAAAGTAATAAAATTGAATAACTTATCACAAATCAAAAACAGCTGAAGGCAGAAAAACAGAAACTTTAAACACTAAAAGCTGCCGATTGGTGGATTTCAACTTAACACAAGTTATTTTGAAATACATAGATAATGATGTTTAATAAGTCAAACAAAGCATATGTACATATACAGTTAAGAGATATTCTGGGTTTATAGGGCATCGTCAATACATAACACAATCACAGAAATTTTACAATAAAAAGTAGAAACAGCAGTCCAACTAAAGACACTTTACAGGAATTTTCAGTCTTAATAAAGAGCTTACAGAAAAAAAAAATCACATTCCAAATTTAAAATATAATATCAAAGTTTTGGCTTATATTTATGTTAAATGGAAAATGTTGCTGTTTCTTATTCTGCTCATTTTGTAACAGAGAAGATAAAAACATTTTACAAATGACTGGACTTCAAATTAAGTTTCAGTGTCTTACATTCAAAATTTTCTTAAACCACTTTCTGTTTATGTTATACCAATTAATATAGCATAAAATCTGAGCTAATAATCGATATTTTAATAATATATAAGTTGTAAGTTCTTAATTCTATAAAGCAATATTTAAAAAATCCCGAATATCCCTTAGTGTGACACGTTTTCTCTAAGTATATTCTCTTCTCTATTTTATCAACCACCCCTCCAAAAAGTAAGATAATAAGTGTAAATTACTCCCTATAAAATCATCATTACTCAGACAAACCATAATTTTTATAGCCTTCAATTTTATTTGGTTATAGAGCTATCAAATAGAAAATCAGACTACTCCTGCTACACCCACCTGTTATATCCTCTCTTTCAGGATTTGTTAATAGTTCTCTCTTATGTTTAATTATATATTACCTATAACCAATAGAAAGTCAAAGTTTCATCTGTCAAATGATGTATTTTATAATGTTGTGTTCTGAATAGAATATCACCAATTTCACTCAGAGTACAAGATTCGTTCCCATGGGAATGTTAACAACTAGCTTGACTGAATCTGTAATGGCTCTTGTCCCATAGTTAGAAAGCCAGAAAAATTTTGAGAATTAGGGGAAATTGTCTACTTTTTGCATGTTATTAGTCTAGGTTTTTTAGTGCATTATTTAATCAAATAGAAGTTATTTAGTACATTACTACCATTAGGATGAAAAAGTAGGGTTAACCGTCATCAACAATCAAGAGCAAGAAAAAAGAAGATTGTGTGAGTACTTTATTTTTTGTTTTTCACGTTTATTCTTTACTTATTATTATAAAAGCAAATAAAATGTAAAAACAGGGATCCTTTTACATTAGTAAGATTAAATTATGTAAAATAAATAATAATATAATAAAAAGTTTCACGAGACACGCACACACGCGAGCAGCTCAATAGTAATGTAATTTGATAGTGTAACGTGAGCTGCACATTCCCCGAGTGACTTAATACTCAATATATTCATGGACAAATCTTTTAGTTTATTAAAAATACTACACTATAAAATATGATTTTTTGTATGTGAAAAACTTTATAATGTTAACTGAAAGACTGCCAAATTTTGTGAAGATATACACACTATATTGAAAGTTAAAAGTATTAAATCTATAAAGACTTTAAATGAGTACAAAGATGTCATGTGGTTGGTTAAATTGACTGAGCCTGTGTTTAGAAAGTTAATAGTTTTTAAGTATTTTTTGGAAATTAGGAAGTTAAAAATTAGATAACAAACATTTTAAGTATAAGCAATGTTTTCATGCTAAGTTTATTGACAAAAATTAATAATTTAGATGTTTAACTAAATTTTGAATGTAACACTGTAAAAAATCAGTATATGCATACTTTACTCTGATGGTTCTAGGAAAAAAAAAAACTTTCAAAGAACAAAAATGGAGAAACCTTGTTTTTAAGCAGTAACAGCACTTATAAAATCTATTTTTTCCTTAACTGGGACATTATCTGTATCACTATCATTAAATAAACTTTGTCACAAATTATTTAATAAATTTAGGGATTAAAGTGTATAACTTGTTTTATCATGCACACAATCATCTTATTTTACAGGTCACATTCAAATCCTATACAAAAAAACCAAAACCAATAACATAATAATAAGACATCACTTTAACATTATTTTTTCATCAGTTACACTGCCCAAAACAATTACAAGATAATCAGTTCTATATTCTAGCTATATCACGGCACAACTACCGTTATTAACTCTATGCAACATTGAAATAGTTTTACATTTTCCTAGCTTCCTCAATTCTTCTTTTTCTAGGTATCTCTCTCTCTTCTTTTCTTTCCAGGCTCTTTGATTTCTTAAACATTGTCGTTTTTCTATTTCATCTTAAAAGAGTGAAAAAAAAATGAAATTTAATTCTAAAATTGCCAAAATACATTCTCTGTTGTTTTTTCTGAAGTAAGGTAAGATTAAATTCTGGTGCTAAAGAATACATTATAAATACTACTACATGATCACAAGACCAGAACTATGGTGAAATACTACAAGTGTACACAATATACAATTAGTCATGATAAATTTGTGTAACGAAAAATCAACCATTAAGAAGGAATTTACTGAGAATAATTAGAAATATAAGTAAATTAAAATATCTGCCTACTTATCCTGTACATATATGCAAAGAAAAATGATGTGATTTAAATATAGATTCTTCATTATACAATCAACATTCTTAAAACTATATTATAACATGTCCCTGGGACAAACCTTGTAACCATTTTATTCTTGTTATAGTTTTTATGCTATAACTTTTAAATTAGTAAGCGTATGTTAATGAAATTTGGCAGATTATCAGTAAACATTACAATGCTTTCAGATGCAAAATATAAATTTTTTTTATTATTAAGTCTTAAGGTTTTTAAAGCAATGTTTTTCTCATGCCTTTTTTTTCTTTTTGCATGTTGCCTATCCAGGATACAAAGTAATTTTCATTTTAAGATTAAAAATGTGTTTATACATCAAATAATTTTCAAATTTCACGTGTGAAATCTTTATAATGTGCAGATAGTTTTCAAATGTTTATTGAGAAAACAAATTTATATCTTATCTGTTATTTTCACTAATGAATTTCTGTATGGGTTCAGTCGATTTGACCATTCTTGTTACCACCATAAAAAATTAGGAAATAAATATAAATTATGCCTCTTTCGTTCTAGAATGACAACAAATTATGACACGAAAACATAAACATTTAGACTAAATAGCTTAACTCTCATAACATTACACATTTATATATATTTATTATATTGACCTTTCAGCCATGCCTGGCTAACACTACAGAAGTTACAATGCTATGGTATATGTGCTCTCATGTTACCATATCAAATATTATAAAACTGACCTGTCTTGGCTGTGTTTTAATAAACTAGTATTTTGTAAAAATACAGTCACATTTTGATTATTATACATTATATATATATATAGATTATTACTATTTTGAAATAAGTTCTTAAGCTTATTATTCTTAAAAC